AAAATTGTTGAATGATTTAGTGTTGTCACATTGAAACACCACAATGAGGAGCAATAACATAATAGAAGACTAATCTGACTAACTTCAGTGGGCCTCTCCATTTTGGTGTGGGTAACTGGCAACGATGTTGGTGAGCAATAAACCCAAATGCCAGATTTCAAGTTGGACCTTCAGAGACCTGCGAGGGAGAAGTCCTCCAAATTAAATGACAGAATACGTTGTTTTTCCTTATTCTCTTTAACAACACAAAACTTTTTCTTGATCTGACACTCCTATCAGCAAGATGACATCATTTGTCAGTGTTGCCAAAACCAGTTTTAAATCACTTTACACTACTTATTATTTACTTACTATGTTTACAGTTTGGTTAGCTTTAGGCCCAAAAACAACCTGGTTAGGTTAAGAGAGGAGTCAGCTATCAAAAGAGCCATTTATGGCCAAAAATCAAAATTTCCCTGGAGCCACAAACATATTTGAGCCCTATATTGCTAATTCTTGCTGCAGATCAAGCATAACGATAAGCAAACAAATCTGCCCACGCAGTAATAATCTCTTTATGTTCCTCTGAGACTTTTCATTTTTTGGATTCTGAATCCATAACTAGCCTAGCTAGGGAGATTGTTCCTCTGGACAAACCACTTTTTCTGTTCCGGGGATCAAAATGTGGAATTCCTTACCTATAGAAACTGCATTCCTGACTGGGATCATTTTAAACTAGGACTAAAAAACAGTTTCAGAAGAGGGATCAGTCATGTAGTCATGAATGATCTGGTGCTTCCTGTTTTATGGTCAGTAGGTTGTGTCTGTTTATTTTTCTTCCTGAGTTCTATATTTTTAATGTTCGTACTTATTGTTAAGTTTGGGTTCTGTACTGTCTCTTGTGTATTTGTTAAGTTTTCGACATTTTAAAGCCCTATCTAAGGACGGGCATTGCAAATGAATGTTGTGGTGTGTGGCATTTGTTTGTCCTACAGGCTACAAGTATGCTCTAGGTTGCCTACCCTTGGGTTTAGAGAAGGATCATAGTTTGAGTTAACATTACTACTTTATTAAGGTAAGGGGACCTTTTTCATGGTTACAGTAATAACCACTTAAAGGCCCAGTGTATTGATTTACTGGCATCTAGTGGTGAAGTTGAAAGCATTTGAATACAGCTCAGCCTTTCAAGGGTATAGAAGAAACAATGGTGGCTGAGAAACTTGTGGAAAAAAAGATAAAAACAGCTAATTTTAAGGCAACAAAAATACGACGACTCTTTTTTTTTCAGTTGATTATACACTGATGAAAACATACCTATGAATATTATATTCCATTTCTGCCAATACATCCTTTTAAATGTTAAACACTGGATATTTAATACTTAAATATCAAAAACATCTATGCAAATTCAATATTTTATTATCTTTTGGTAATTTAGTCTAGGGAGCTCCATGCAGAGGGTTTCCCTTGTCACCTGTTGCACAAGTAAAATTGCTGTGTTATAAATTCGTTGGCTACTTCCTCCTTGTAATTTGATTCAAATGAATATGGTTATGTATTGAGACCGAACCTTGATTTATCACTTTAACCAACGTGCAACACATTCAGCCAGTTTTGATTTGTGCGACGCATGCAAGGCCTAATTAATGTTATTTACACTCTGCAGAATCAGAGGACTGATTTTATGAACACCAGGAATCAGGAACAGCTGTTTGATAGAGAGAAACTAATGATGTCATGCCCAGAATCATCAGCGGGGAGTCCAACACCATGGGGGCTGTCACTCAACGACAGAATGTCAGCAGCGGCAGGCCCTCTGTTTGGGGAAGGCACTTGTCAATCATGTCTCAGGCAGCGGGGGAGCAGGTGTGCTGGCCAATCAGAGAAGGTCCCAGCACAGCAGGCCCGGGACCAGGAAGTGAAGCGCCATCTGGAGTGAAGACGAGCTGTGAGTGGGCAACTGAAACAAAGTGATGACATGCTGGAGGAAAGCTGGTGGAGTGTGCTGCTGGATATAACAAGGGCATTTGGATTCGTGCTGCCTATCACACCAACTCTGTTGTTGATTCTAGTAGTCAGATGGTGCTTATTAAAGATGTGCACAGGCTATTCCTCTCATATAGGGGTGGAGGAACTGTGTGTGTGTGTGTGTGTGTGTGTGTGTGATAGCCA